TGGACATCACCAATACCCCCTGCTCATCACCTGGGCCAACCTGAGACATCAATACCCCCCCCCATTATCATCTGGTTAACCATGGACATCAGCAATAACCCCGCCCCCTTTATCGCTCGGGTCAATAAGAAAGGATGACTTTGATGTAAAATGGGGGGCACTGATGTGAAAGGGGGGAGGCTGATTTTTATGACCATAAGTACAGTTCATTCTCTCTCCAGTTGCTCATTGAAGTTCTTCTAACCGGGTCAACCTTGGACATCACCAATACCCCCTGCTCATCACCTGGGCCAACCTGAGACATCAATACCCCCCCCCATTATCATCTGGTTAACCATGGACATCAGCAATAACCCCGCCCCCTTTATCGCTCGGGTCAATAAGAAAGGATGACTTTGATGTAAAATGGGGGGCACTGATGTGAAAGGGGGGAGGCTGATTTTTATGACCATCAGTACAGTTCATTCTCTCTCCAGTTGCTACTTGAAGTTCTTCTTTAGGCTGAAAAACCAAATGTAATGAGAGAGGAATGATTGTGCCGAGTGTTTGTCAGACCCGGAGCCTCCTAAGACCCTCCCACTGCTTCCCCAATCTGGCCACGCCCATCATTTCCATCATGGCTGATTCTTGTTTCATGCGTTGGGCGAGTGGCAGTTGCACGGCTCTCCCTTGTTGTGGCCTCACAGAGCCCCGCGGGAGGTTCAATCCTTCTCCACTCCATCCAAAAAAATGTATAATGTCTGACCTGCACCAAAACGATGATGAGACAAAAGTATAATTCTCCTTTAAGGGATAACTATGAGACATTGTCACTTGACCCTCCAGCGCTGACTGGAGGAACGGACGGGGGAGGGGGCGGGTACAGCTGGTTCTGCCTCTAGATAGGCGGAGCCAGCTGTCACTCAGCTGGGAGGATCCAGACATCAATGTCCCGGCTGCGGCGGTCTCAGTATATAGGGAGCTTTGGGTAGTTTGTATCCTCCGGTGACCCTTAGAAGAACTACGGGGGGAAAACACTGACCCCATACTTCTCCTTTAAATGTCATGTGATGCACAGTGAAGGACACTGCGTGGTATGTTGTCACATTGCTTGTGTGAGTTCCTTTCAGGTTCCTCTCATACGATAAAGACTTGCTGGCAGGTTCATTGACTCCGGTACGTGTGTGTGCACACGCACGCACACAGACACACACACACACACACACACACACACACACAGACACGTCTATAATCGCCCCAGACTAGTGATTCTCAACCTGTGCAACCTCGGGACCCACATTTGTCCTCGGCCATTAAGTCGCCCTGCAATGGAACGCACGGCATTGCGGTACCGCGTGTTCCGGTGCGTGCGATTGAGCTGTGGGGTGGGAGGTGCGTTCGGGGCATCATTCAAATGAATGGCAACACAACGCACCTCCCACACCGGAATGCCGAGTTGGTGCGATTGCGCGGCAAGGAGCGTTAATGACACAGGACTGTTCAATGAACACATTGTAGTAGTGTGAACGGCCATCAAAAACACTGCCAGACACACAGTGACACACTTCAGTGACTGACACACACACAGTGACTGACACACACACAGTGACAGACACACACACAGTGACAGACACACACACAGTGACACACACACACAGTGACAGACACACACAGTGACACACACACACAGAGACACACACACACAGAGACACACACACACAGAGACACACACACACACAGAGAGAAACACACACACCACGACACTACACACACACACACACAGTGACACACACAGTGACACACACACACACAGTGACACACACACACACACAGTGACACACACACACAGTGACACACACACACACACAGAGACAGACAGACACACACACACAGTGACACACACACACTTTCCATTATTTATGTAAGATCCCCCCGGTCCCCCGACCCTACGAGAACTGGAGTGGATCCTCAGCCTGGGGTCCGGTGTGGGCAGCTGTGCTGTGACGGAGCTCCATCCATATGTGCAATGCTGGTACAGCTCCCTTACGCACCCTGTTGAGATGTTGGGAGCCAGAAGGTGACGTCACTCCGGTCCAGGCTCCTCTACCGGACACGTGAGGGAGCTGTAAGTAACGCACGTATGGATGGAGCTCCCTCACAGCCATAGCCCCAGCCCTCTCCACCTCAAGCTGACACTCGGCACCGGGCAGGATATGAACGGCTGCTCGGCGTGAGATCTGACAGCGCTGCGCTAGGGGGAGGAGCCACTCACCTAGAAAAGTGGAACGCATGTGGGGACCCGCTGAACACGGGGCCCTAGTATATGTATGAATGTGATAGGGACCTTAGGCCCCACACTTGAGACACGTGGGATCTGCTGTACGATACGACGACAGCTGCCATTTCCTGCGAGTACCGGCGGACAATGGCGTCTGGATGTAAACCGTCTGCATCCAGGTGTGGCCCTCCGCAGGTATCGGCAGCTGTCATTGTATTGTACCGCGTCTCCGGCCCGCAGCAGATCACACGAGTCCAACACAAGAATCATCCACACTCCTGAGGTCGGCTCTATTCCCAGGTGTCCGTGGGGGCAGGGACAGAGGTGAATGTGCAGGACTGTATGTAAAGCACAGCACCGTATTTACTCATCGTATAAGACTCCCCCCCCCCCCCTCTTCAGAGGCAACGCCATTTAAAAACATCAGATTTGGTTTAAATAATTTTAATTAAAATGGTTATGGCCGGTACTTAAAATCCACAAATCTGTCAGCACGCTGGATGTGCGGTGATACTGGATGCGCGGTGATACTGGATGCGCGGTGATACTGGATGCGCGGTGATACTGGATGCGCGGTGATACTGGATGGGCGGTGATACTGGTGCAGTGATACAAATACAAAATCTAATACGAATGTATCCACCGGCAATAACACACGCCGTATACTTTCTAAAAAATCATTTATTTGCAAAACCATCGGCATAAAAAGAACAATAAATATCGTTATATCTATTTACAGCATAAGTTAGAAAAAAAGCTTTACAAGACATTCCGCAGACAGACAGACAGTGTCAGCAACTCGACAAAGACAGTACATAGGTAACTACCAGATCCGAGGCCTGGCACTGGATGAAGGCTCCGGACAGAACCCCAGATCCGAGGCCTGGCACTGGATGAAGGCTCCGGACAGAACCCCAGATCCGAGGCCTGGCACTGGATGAAGGCTTCGGACAGAACCCCAGATCCGAGGCCTGGCACTGGATGAAGGCTTCGG